TAACATGTACGACCGAAAGAGAGAGAGAGCTATTAAAATGTAATTACAATTATAATTAGAAAATTATTAATTAAATTATCTATATTACATTTAAATATGTTTATAAAAAATTAATAATAATTTAATATTTAATAATAATTAAAAAGTTAAGGAGCTCTCTCGCTTTGGCTGGGTCTTAAAGTGAATCCCGGTTAAAATAACTACATTTTATTTAATATTAAACTTTACAATTGATTACCTGACTTGGTGTAATACTCTAATGATTTATGTATTAAAATAGCAATACTATGAGTCATATTTGGCTGTGCCATTTAAATGCAGTTTGAATAATAATTTGAAAACCCAATAATCACATAACATTCAACAATTTACTCACATTACTACTATTTTGTCCCTCATAAATGATAACATTTGCATTTATTTCGTATAATAAATTAAATCTCATTTAATGTAGACTTGTTTTGATTAAATAATATAAATGAAAAACATTTACATGGCTTAAATTTAAGATATACTTAAGTGACATTTAGTCTAAACATAGTTTGTTATTTAAAATTGAAAAATTATTTTTCAACCAAATTTAGGCTAGTAACTTCTAAAGGTCTTAAAATTTTAAACATAATTATATAAATATAAAATTGTAATTATACAGTAATTACAAAGTTTTTTACGTATAATAAATATGGAGTTATTTTAACTTAAAGTGACTATCATTAGAATACACAAGTTTTATAATTTATTAATTTAATTTTTGTAAATTTATAATATCTCCATAAAAAGTATATTTTTTAGCACAGTAAATTAAATAAGCTTGTCATTATGGGCAACACTCAATCTGATCTTACCGAGAAAAAATGTTGGAACGTTATCAAGTAAATTTCCATTATATTAAAAAAATTAAAATTAATATATAAATTGTACTAGATGGGTTCCCGGAGTAAACCTCGCGTACGTTATCCCGCGTACTATAGTCTACGCCGCGATTGGCTCAAGAGAAACTGAGCCTGAACGTTGGGATGTTATCAAGTAAATGGGCCCACCTCATAAATAAATATACTAATTTAGATATTGATTGCTAATTCTCATAGATGGATTCCCATAGTAAACATTGCTTATGGCATACCGAGGTTAATTACGTACGCCTGTAAGCGTGACCTTAAAGAGTCGTTAAGTTCCGTATTGGCAGTTGCGGGCGGCCTACTAGGGTTTCCCGCGGGTAGCGTAGCGTGTGGTCTAGTATCGGGCGCACTAGCGAGTGTGTCAGGACAATTTATGAGTGCACTTTATCAATTCGCAGCACAAATGGTGGCTGGTGGTTTCGCCCAGAATGTAGTAATTGGCGGTGGCGACATCGCACTGACAGCCATTTTTGAGCCTGATGAGCTAAAAGGTCTCACGTCGGACGAGATGGAAAAGTTAGTCTATGACAAAATCATCAAGGACGTACCTTTTGTGGGTGGCGCGTACTCGTTTGTTCGATCGGGAGTTTATTTTTGCGATGACAGTGACGAATGTGCCGAGAGTTTAAAGAATAGCGTCGCTAATTGCGTGGGCTCGGGGTTAGGTGCTGCCGGTGCCGCGTACATCGCCCCGCACGCCCACCAGGCCTGTGTAAAGTGGCTCGAATCTTACCAAGATGACCTAGCTCGAATTGCCGCCTTAGGTATGAAACCAACGATACTATCTGCGGGACGACTCCCGGGGGCGGCCGTCAAATATGTCATTCAAAAAGATGAATTCATTACCAAAACAGTTGCCAGGGTAATAAATCATAGCGCAAGTAAAACTAAATTCCTGTGAATTTTATGACATCACACTGGTAAATAAATTAATGGTATCCAGGGTCAGCAATAGTTAATTATTGAATAAAAAATTGAGAAAATATATTCTAATTAACTATTTCTGTCCCAGGTGGCAATATTTTTCAAAATAAATATTGCGCCTCTGTTAAATATTATAAATAATTTAGTATATTTTAATTACTTTTCCTTGATTTTATTTTATAAAAATTTATAAATGAGTGTAATGTACATATGCAACGTTGGTACTGTTAAATACAATTTAATTGGTCAACTATATACTATGGCGTAAAAATTAGGTAAATATATAATTATACTTGTAATTTATTAAAATAAAATTAAATACTTTTATTGCAGCTTTGTCAAACATTTTGAACCAATTGAATGAAGTATACTTTGAGAAATGTACAGTACAGTGTAGTGTAGTGTACAGTATGTAAAATATGTAAAAATGTCAAGTTGTAAATATTCTAAATCAATTTAATTAATAATAAATATTGTTAATTACAATGTGATAGTTTTATTTATTTTAAAATTTAATAAAATATAATCCATCTATTTTCTAGCCAATATTTTAAGATTTAACTTTAATTCAATATTAAAATTTTTATTCAAAATGTAAAGTTGTCATAAAGTTATTAAGTTGATACTATCTAAAGTAGATAATTTTAAATCTGTATTTATTTACTAAAATATTGAATTCATGCTATAGGGGCATACGCAAAAAACGGTGTGGGGGAAACTTGAATAGCTCGCTAACTACAAGTCCGAGACTGAAACGGTAAAAAGTATTATTAAGATCTATTTAATGCAGAACTTTTACACATTTAAAGTTTTGATTTATGTACAGTTTTTGCCAAAATTGCCAAATTTGGAAACTTTAAAAACGCTGCCATTTCTTTATTAAATGAAATAATTTAAAAATTCTTTCAGTGATATTATATGCACAAAAGGTAGCATATACTGACATAATAATATCCATTGACTTCTAAAATTTTTGTCATTAACATGGGAAATCATATCTTGCATTTTGTATCGCACAGCCATTATTAGCAATTAGATTTTTAGCATATACGGCTTATATGAAAGCTCTACTATTGAGCTTTCAAACTCACTTAACCATATTGACCCATGACCTCAACCCTGACCTGTACCTATGACCTTTGCGTTCATTCCGTTATTTCAATTACTGTACATTTTGATAAAATTGATTTTAAGTGTAAAAGTTCTGCATTAAATAGATCTTAATAATACTTTTTACCGTTTCAGTCTCGGACTTGTGCGAGCTATTCAAGTTTCCCCTACACAGTTTTTTTTGTGTATGCCCCTATAACTATACCCGTGAATTAATTGTGATGACTATTTCTAATAAAAAATTAATTATATGAGAAAATCGGCGTATTTGATCAACTTGACCAGGGTAATGGGCATACGGTTAAGAATTTAGAGAAGTTACTGGATGATTATAATCACGAGAAACAGGTAATAATGGAGTATATGGATAAAAGTGACGCTGATGAGTATTATATCACCCTGGACGAAATTGACCAGCGTATTAAAATGTTGTATTCATTGAAGTGGAATGGGAATACTGTTAAGAATTTAAATTACTTGTTAAAATTATATTAAAAGTTTAATAATATTTCTGTAATTAATTTTTCAAACTTGATTCAATGTAATAAAAGTTTAATTTAACAATTTTATTCTTTTTTTATTTAATTTTATTCTCTAAACAAATATTTAAACTATAATATATACTGTATAATTTATAAGTATAATAATTAACTATTAAATGAACTAAAAATAAATTAAAATAATTGACTTGGTGTAATATATTACACAACAATTTCTGTTGGAAGTGGTTTTAAGCAAATATAGTATCGAAAATATTTGACAATTCCAAAACAATACTATTTGGCACAATGCCATTTAAATGCAAATAGAGTTGATTGATAACTTTTATACGAATAAAAACACATAAAAATTCAACTGCTTGTCATATTATATAGATATCCTTTTAAATTTATATAAAAATTACTATTATTTAATATTTAATATAATAATACAGTACAACCTTATTTAATGTACAAATACAATTTGGCGACAAAAATAGTTTATCATATCTTATGGAATGAAATATAATATTAAATATAACGTGTTTGATTAAATAATATAAATGACTAATATTTGAATAATACAGTATAATAATAAATTATTGACCATATACCAACGTGATATTTAGCATAACAATGTACATGAAATTTCCCGTTTTGGCATAAAATTGTTTATTAAAAAGTTTATTTGCTATATGACAGTCGAAATATGCAATATTTCAGGGACTATGTGTTTATACCGGGAAAAATAATTATTTGTAACCAAATATTAAACTATTCATTTATTAACGCCTCGAAAATTTAGTATATATTATGCATAAATAAATTATTATGAGAAGCTTAGGCATTTAAAGTTTTAATGCACGTAATCAATGGCGGTTGATTGTAAAAATTATTAAATTTACTTGAAATTGATTTAAGTTTAATTTTTGATATTTTATAAAACTTAATGAGTTTAATTCTACTGATTTAAACTAGTGTGGATATTAACGATTTATTCATAAACTTGAACATAAATAAACAATTTATTTATATTACATTTATTTAATAATATCATATTTTGAGCTATAAATCAATTTCACTAAAATCCAAATTTTATTTAGTTTTGTTTTAAAGCTTGAAAAATCAAAATAACATATTATCATATTATGTCGTTATTGAGTGCGAAATAATACTCCAAGAAAACTAATTCAACAGTATTTAACCAGGTAACCAAACTAATTCAAAAGTTAAAATAACTAATAGACTATTATTATTAACGGTGAATTTTAAAACTAACAATTGGGGATATATTCATAACAGTGACAATATAAATGAGATTATGCTTAAAGCTATCCTGATAATATGTAAAAATTATAGATATAGTCATAAGTGCTTATATAAGGGGTACCGGAATTTAATGCGCGTTTTATGGTTACATTTATTAAATTAATTATTAGAAATCTTCTACTTGGAT